TTCTAAAACCCAGAATCAGTAAATATTATGCTCTTTTAGGAAATAAAAAAAACTATCTTTGCAGATGGAATTAAGATAAGGATCCTGAGAGGGACAGTAGCTGTAGACTTTACCCTAAATACAGTGATAAGTACACTTCAAAGAGCCACATGTAAGAGAAGACAAGGTGACTACAGGGGCAGAGGTGAGTGTGATAAAGCCTGAAGCCGAGATCAACCTGGGGCTGTCTGAAGATTGAGGAGGTCCCCTCTCAGCCTCTACAGGGGACCTCAGATTTCCCAACCCCAGCATCCTGAGAGAATAAACCTTTATTGATTTGGATCTGATGTGCGATAACTCAGTTCAAGGCACACAGAAAACAAATACACAAGAGTATTTTAAATTCTTAACACTGTTCAAGTAACATAAGGATGACATTTTACTTCATTCAATTATCTTTTAGGTTCACTTTAGCTAGGTTTATTCTTGACATTTTTTTAATCTTCCAAGTAAAAGAATTGAAACAGAATTTTTTTCAGATGGACTGCAATGTCACAGGCACTCTGTTATTGCTGGTGACAAGGTTTTCTGTGTTTCTCTGTCTTTACGAGTGTAGACCGTCTGCCTGGCCCTGACACCTAGAGTTTTCCTTGCTTTCTTTTATCTCAGGCTGCCTGGGCTTCCCTGGTCTGCTTTGCTTCATTTGCTTGTGACTCACAGCATGGGTAGAATAGGAAAAAGACTCGCTCTTCTACTAGGAACCCATGTGACTGAATCCATGTTAACTGTATGGGAAGTAGTTCAACCTTAAACCAATTGAATGAGTCATTTTTCTAAAGGCACCCTTTGTTTCAGTGTCTGATGGCAACCGGCCATGCTTCATAACAGGGAACACGGTGATGTCCTACTCACTTGAGGATCAGATGCTCTCATTCCAGTAGACGTGCAATACTCAACAGGAATGTCAGCCTTCCCACTTTGCAGAACAGACACATTCAGACAAGCTGGGATACAGGTGCAGACGATGTATGAGTAAAGTGAAAGGAAAACTTCAGGGTAGCTCTCTGAAGTCAGAGTTGGAAGCACGGTAATTGATATACTGGCCCATAAAATTTGAAGACGTATTAGACAATTTACAGGCTTTTTCTGCAGCTTTACAGCAGTTCTGTGAAAAATTGATCCTATGGGTTACATAAGCTCACAGACATGTTTCATGTGTCCTGACTTTATTCTTTTAAACTTGGATGCAAAACTGAACACTCATCATTTCGCACATTAAAATCCAAATTGATGGCTTCCTTTTTGAAGATGGAAAAGGCGTAGAGTCCTCGGCCCATAACCTCCACAGGCAGTAACTGGCTGACAATCAGCTGAGATCTCCGAGGTGTGCACTTTGGTTTTCACGGCAGCTTTCATTCCCTCTACCTTGCTGTAAGTTATATTGTGACTTATAATACTTGGTATTTTCTTTGGTATTTTAAAATCTTCTCAAGGCTTTTGTAACACTGATTTTCTAATGTAGTGACCCATTCATTCAATATCATTTTCAAGTCTCATACATAGGATTACCTCAGAGAAACTCTTTCCTGGGAGAGGCTTGCCCACCCAGAATGCTCCCTGCTCTGTACAGAAATATGGCTGGAGGTTCATGGTGTGCACGTGTCATCAGCTAGGTACCTAGATGTCAAGTCTACTCTCATCAAAATATCTTTAAGTTTCCTTTGGTGCTGAAGTCAGTGGTTGATAATTTCAATAAAATCAACATCTTTATTTTGCATTGAAAAGAACCATCCCCATACTCCACACTCCCCTTCATTTGTTTCTTTGAATCCTTAAAACAGAAGTGCTTAAAAAAATTATAACAATGGGTGAACATTCCCTCTACAGTGGAACATCTTTCATTGTGTGTGATTTCAGGTCAATGGCTAGTTTCTCTAAGTCAAGTTGCATTTTCCTGTGGTTAACATTTCTGGTATTAGACTTCTCAGTTCCTAAAACACTGTTTTCCTTCTCAATAATAAATACTTTTTATTTTACAGATTAACAAACACCTTCAGATTTTGAAAATTCTATACAAGTAATACAAATATCATTTTTTTCTAGTAACTTGAATAATTTCTATCCAAAGCTTTGCTTCACATGGTGGGTGTTACCTTCGAGACCAGGTCACAATACTCTACAGTTGCTGTTAGAAAGGGCATGGTTGTTACAGTTCCTTGATTAATCAGGCTTTTGTCTCTCTCTGAATTAAAGGTATAATACAAACTGCATCACTGTTATAAACCACAGCACTGATTATAATTCCTGTGGGCAAGAACTAGGAATTTAAGTTAGGGTTGGAAAAAGGCAAAAATATTTAGCTCTCCTATCGATGGATGTGCTTCTTGAACTTATATCTGGGCAGGTCACTTCATTGCTGATTCATTGCTCAGTGATAGCCCAATGAAGAGCTTAAACGTCTAATGGAAAAGATGTCACATTCTCTCATGTGCTTCCTGCACAGAACCATTCCCTGCCTTTACAACAGTAGCTAAACATGGATCAATGGAAAACGTTTTAAATGCATAAGTATGTGATTGGATGAAAAAGTGAAAACATAAATGCTCAATCCTTCACCACATTCCCATCGGTCCAGAATGAAAACGGGACTGCGGCCTTCACAAGACATCGGCCTGCAATGTTAGTTCTGCTGCCTCTCTAATCTCACATCATCTTCCCCTGGGCTTACTGGCCTCGGCGTGCGCTCCTGACCTTCACCTCTCCAGTCCCTTTTCTGCTTTGTAGTTCTTTGCACCTATTCCTTTCACCTGGAAAGTTTTCCCCAAAGCATTGAATACAGGGCTCTTCTTCCTTCTCCAAGTCTCGCCCTGCAGATCAGCTCTCTTCTAGAGATCACATTACCCCATTTAAAGTGAACTTCTCTGATTCCCTTCTAATCTATCAGTGTGGATATTTTCTTTCTTGTGCTAGCAAGAAAGTACGATGCTTAAATAACCACTTTCTAGTTTGTTTCTTTCACACAGGAAGCTACAAGTGCCATAAAGACCAATTTTGTCTCACTTCTGTGCGGTGTTTGGAGAACCTGCCGTACCGACAGTGACCTAATGAAAGAGTAAGTGGTGAATGAACAAACGGAATGAGAAAGCAGGGTGTATGTGTAGGATAGACTCCCAGTGCTTACATTTCATTACATTCTGAGAGGTGTGTGTGTGTGTGTGTGTATGTGTGTGTGTGTGTGTGTGTGTGTGTGTGTGTGTGTGTGTTAATCTTAAGTATTTGATTTTGTAAACTGCTTTATTTTCCCTGTTATTTTCCTATAGTGCCTGATACTGGGAGACTGAGTAAATGGCCCATTTCTATTTTGGGTTTAGACACACTTTCTGATCTTAGAAGCTGAATGTTTCACACAACCATTATCAGAATTTTCAAAATCACAGGAGGGACAGGGAACACAGAGATAATAACGGATATTCCATTGCATACATGATTGTCTTTAATGTCATCCATTCATAAGGGGCAGGGAAAGCTCACTTGAAACAGAAATGTGGACACATTTGGAATCATGGCGCATGGCACAGGGTGGCAGTAGTGCTGGGTTTGTGATTAATTAGTTGTGAACTCTGGGCAGGTGGACTGTTCTGCATGCTGATTTCCTCATTGTGAAGGTAAAGGTGAGGAGTTAGGTTGATGGTTCTCACAGTGCGCTCTGCTGAAAGCTGCAGGTCGTGGTGAGGCATGTGAATGGGTTCCTGCTGTCTTAATCCTACTGCAATCACAGAAAGTCTGCTTTTATCCGATTTGTAGATTGGAGCACTGAATATATTTTGCTTTTTAAAATCAGGTCTTATTAAGAACGTTGAAAACCAGAATGGATTTTTTTCAGCACTCCATATTTTTTTACATCACAAAATAAAAAATAAATTCAACATTTAAAGGAAGCACTTGAAAATCTGCTCTATTCAAGGTGCTAGGCTGTATGCTATCAGGTGAAAAACATGCACAGATTTAATTTACATTCTAACTCATGGTCCACCGTAACAATAATACAAGAAAAATATATATTAAAGATGCCAAATGATGACATAAGCACAGACTCATAAAATTTAGAGGAAGTGAAACTCCAGAGAAAAATATATATATTTTGCATATGAATGAATATATAATATGCATTGCAAGTTACACACAAATGTTATATAAATCATCTGCAGCTTATATATATTATATATAATATGTATTAATTAAGGCCTTGAAGGAACATTTGTCTTGAATAAGGAACGCATCTAGTTAATATTCAGCACACTCAGCTCCGCCCCAGCATCTGCTCTCCTGACTCATAATGAGTTCACATGAGAAAAAATGGGAGCGTAGCTACAATCCTTTATGGTTTTGTTTTTTGTTTTTTTGTTTGTGATTTTTTTTGTTTGTTTTACTGTCTCTTGCCAATTTATGTAAGGCTCTTTACAATTATGGTGGGGCTGACCGTAGTTGTGGTGTCAAGGCAATAGATTTGTCAAACATTGCTTTGACTCTTCTCGTGGACTCTCATTTTACATTTTCAATCATAGCATGGCAGCAGGACACAATCAGTTGGGAGATTTATCAGATTTTTTTGTTGTTTGATTGTTTTTGAGTCCCTGAGGGTTGGACCCCGAGTCTTATACTTAGCAGGCAAGCGTTCCACCACCAAGCTATGCTTCCAATTCCATGATTTTTAATAATTAACTGTTTCTGAAACTTTCTGTTTAGGGGAGATAGTTCAGATGAGATTAAACTCCAAAAGACTCACTTAACAGGTTCAAAACTCATTAGTATTGCCGAAAGGGGCACATAATGTGGATTACTGAAATGAGGCTCTGAGCTACACATTGTGGCATAAACTTGTAATCTTGGGCTGCTGGGAGGCTGGGTCCGTTCAAGACCATCTGTCCACTTAGTGAGAGCCTGTCTCAAAATAGACAAAGGTGGTGGGGCAGAGAGATGTACTTCAGCAAAGAAATTCAGCAAAGCCAAGAACAAAAAGGTTCTGTTTTATTAATCGTTTTATTTCCCCAGTAGAGTTTAGCAGAGACCATGTATGTAAAGTGCCCCAGAACACCTGATTCAATATTTAATAATACATAAATGTCACCCATTATTTTATAGAAAGCATATCCCACATTTGTGGAAGCTACTGCTATCTTAACTGTGCAATAAAGAAAATAAAGTTATGTCATCAAGTTAGCCCAGATTAAACATACCCCCATAAGGTCAATAAAGAGAAGCAAATATTATCTTATGATCGTGTTTGTTGAATAAGAATATTCTGCAATGAGCCATCAATTCTAATGGCAAGACAGAAAAGTGTGTACATACACATTCTCAAAACTGTTGAGTTTTGAAAGTTCCTTGAGAAAGATGTGGCAACATTTCTAAAATATGTATCGATGTTCAATAATCATCCGTACCAGAGAAAGGCAAACTTCTTCATTAGAAGGCAAGATGGTAATATTTTGGGCTTTCATAAGCCCCACGTGATGTGTGGAAACCACTGTACTCTGCTATTCTATCTCTGTAACTGTGCACATTTGGAAGATTAATAAGCCTATCTATTCTAATCAAACAGGGAAAGCTCTGGATTTGACCTGTAGGGCCAGTGTTCACAGATCCCAGACATACATATGATCACAAATTTTGCAAATGTTCCTGGTTCCAACAAAAATGAGAGGTTTCTTTTTAAATGATTTGTTATAAATATTTTCAAAAGAGTAATTTTAAAACTTTTCACTCTAGAGTTTCATTTAGGGAATTAAGATAGAGATGAGCTTTAATTTAACATATTATATCAGTCTTTGTCAAATGTAATACTTAATCTATTTTTATTACAAGTCATCACATGAAATTGATTTCATATAATGAAATACATTATTATAAAAGATTTCAATTATCATCTGAACAAATATCAATAAATAATAATGACAGTAAATGATATTTACAGTTTTAAGCTAAAAGTTCTAGTAGCTGTTAAGTGTCATTTTTAGCACGACTGATATAACAATTAGGTATTTTCAATGTTGGGGGAGTAAGTGAAAATCCAAGAACTAACTTGATTCAGAATAACTTGTGATTTGTCTGAAAGTAGAAAAGGTTGACTTCTCAGCTCAGAGAGCATGCCATTTACATATTTTATTCATTATGTATAATTTATACCTGACAATCCCTAAAAATGTTGCAGTGGCTCAAGTAAAACAATTCATTGTTCCAAGTAACTTCTGAACACACACATAGATTTTCTCAGAACCCTTTCATTCCTATGCAAGGCAATATGGTTTAGTGGAAAACAGCCTGGGACAAGAAGTAGAAGCCTTGGTTACCAAACCTGATGTATCCTCAATCAAGTAGATTTAAATCTTTTGGTTTACCAGACTCCTTAATTTAAGTTTCTGTCTTATAGGGTCAACAATACTATTCACTTCTATTATTATGATGCCTTTATTAATAATGATTGAAGTGCTTTGTTAGTTATTAAATAATATAAAATTTAACATAAAGATAATTTTGCTTTTGTAGGTAAGAAGGGCTACAAGCACTGCTACTTCTAAATTGTGGGTTAAGATTTTATTTTTTGTTTTGTTTATATTTCATTTTTGCAAGAGGAAGGGGAGAGCCCTTTTTCAAACACTTATTTGTGTTTCCATCCTTCCTTCTCTAAAGTAGCATGATTGCCTGCAGCATGCCTGAGCCGACCAAGTGGCCATCTAAGTCTGTTCAATAGTTGGATATATAATAACTTTTCTGAGGTTGGCTGCTACATACATATTTTTTATCAATTCATTGCACAAGAATCTCAATACTAAGTATGCAGTGTCTGGGCAAAATCACAATAGGCAATTTTATTTTATAATTTGATTCAGAAATAAAAAAATAGTTAATCAATGGTATTGAGTCTCTATCAATGTTAGTACACAAAATAAACCAAAAAATACATCAACATTTACCATGTACTTGCAAATGACCAGGTAAGGGAAACATGATTTACAACACCGGAAAATTCTGTTAACAACCATAGACTCGAACGCAATGCACTGTAGGTCATTTGGACTAGGTTAGCAGGAATGAGCAAAGTCGGTTCCAAAGGTGACCTCCAAACACCTTCCTCAGATGGAGACTTTGGTAATCGTCTGTGATTTTAAAAAAAGAAAGAAGCTCCTATTCTTCATCATGTTGGATGGCCATTTTGTCCATTTTTCTCCTGTGATGAGTCTGTTTTAAAGTACTTCAGTTATTCTGAAGACACTCTGAATCCACAGAGCAGCAGACTCTCCCATTCTGTATAGCAAGGACACAAGAGTTAGCCAAACAAGACCCAGAGCGTAAGCCAAGGAGCAATCTGCAATCTTTCTATTCCAAATGACTTTGTGCATTCTGAAACAAGAAATGACCACAAAAGAAACTGCTATGAAAATGCTAGAGCAGGAGCAGAAGGAACAGAGCACTGATGGGCCACTCAGGTTCTTTCTTATTCTGTGTCCTGATTGCCATGCAGGAAGGTCTAGGATGTCTTTCCAGTGGTCCAACTTTTCACACAACTCCTAAGCTACGCTTACTCCAAATGAGATTCTTTTAAAAAATACATGTCTGAAAGAGACAGTTTACCATTTTTTTTTAAAAAGGCTAATCAGAAATATGAGACAAATCTGAAGGCAAATCCAAGCTGGTTTCAGAAAAGGGGTGGATATTAGGTTTAAAAATAATATCTCCCATGATGACTTGGGAAGAGACAGTGGATATTTTGATACATATATCCCTGGAAATTCATTAACTAATACACATGTCCATGGGTGCTGATCACTTAGTACACTTAAAGGTATAGATGAGACCTTGCATTTTTGCTATATGATATATAATATTATCCTTTTTCCACTGGGGTTGCATCTTAGGAGAGTGCTTTCTAAGAAAGAGAAAATAACATTAACATCTCCACTGATACCTGAAGCTGAGCGAAGTTTTGATGAGCCCAAGTAGACAAGTATTTTTAACTTGCTTAACCATGGGAATCTTAAATAGATGCTTTGCTAAAGATGTGGACATGAATTAACCATTGCTCTAAATTGAGTAGAGTCACAGGTCTGCATGGGTCTGAAGGAACTGAGGCTCACTTTTCTAATCTTAAAGACCTATTAGGATATCTTATGAAAATTCCTCCAAAAAGATAGAAAATAAAAACAATCAAATGCTGTAGTCAGTACTGTGGGCCTCACACTAGGCACTCTGATGATTTCACCACACAGTTTCACCAAACACTCTTTCTTTTTACCATTGATGGTCTCATGCAAAACGTTATACAGTAACATTTTCCAGATTAAAGTAGATCTTTGTCCTTTCTTCCTTTTTTCTTTTTCTAATGCTCAGGCAAAAAATACCTTAATTCAGCTGTATTTTGGCTTAGAGTCAACTGACAAAATTCTGCAGTTCAAATGCCAGAGGGGATGGTTAGGATTCCCTGTAATGAATGTTTGTTCCTTTGGAATTGTCTCCTTACAAAGTGAAGTTAATGATCCACTTTACTAACCTCCTATTAGAAATCAATTCCTGTCTGGTCCTATGCAGAACCTGTGCATTCAGAAGCATCAGGAGAGATCCTCTGGCAACTGTTGTCCCAGCCGTTCAAGGCCTGACTATCCTTAGGACACCCAATTACCTTGCATTTGCAAGTCGTGCAGGGCGATCCAGCCATGGTCCACAGCGCCCCGCTCAGCCTGGAAACACCGGTGCTGTCCACACACGTTTTCCTGATGTCATAGGCGATGTTATCAGCCAGGCAGGGGTCACTGACACAATGCGCACAGCACTCTCCTTCCAACAGTGCCGTGTACTCACAGCTCAGACTGGGGCATGCGAGTGGCCAGCAGTCCACCTCTCCTTCCTGCAGAAAAGAAGCCAAAAATTACTCCTTGTCTTTCATAGAACAGGTCCTTCTCAACTCCCAGAAGGGGAAGGAAGCACAGAACTTGCCTTCCTTTCCTCATTAAATGTTTCTAGTAGGCATCATTTTGGGTACAACTCATTGCTTCTTTGAAGAAATCCTACAGACGCTGCCTTCTCCAGATGATTTTGCAGACCACCCATTTTACACTCCATAGAGAGTTAGGTCAGCTACTCTATGTGCCAATCATGGCTTGTAATTGTTCTCATCATGACGTCTGGATTAAGGTTATCATCATAGCTGCACATTAAGTGTCAATGCTTGGACTGATTTTCTGATGCTTAGCATAGTTTTGGTCAAAATATGCCCATAAAGTGAATAAATAAATAGATGGTAAGATACTCGCTTATATATGAAGAGATGGTGATTTTTCTTGAGGTCAAAGTGGAGCCCAAAGCAATGTAATATTTCAAGCTCCACTTCATAAGCTGCTATTAAATTTAAAGTTGGATATTTTCAGCAAAAAAAATATTTCCAACTTGTTTTGGAGTGTAATGTGTGATGAGTGAAATCTGCATTGCAGTTCAAACGGGCTTCCTCTGGTCTCAGCACGTGGCACCTGGGGCTCCATGGATTGGGTAGGGTAGGATGTTTCTCTATGCAGCCAGTTCTGCTATCAAAACACTCACTGAGATGTACAGGGACCCACACTGAACTCTTCAGTCATTGTCACAAGACAGTGGGCTTTTACAGGGACTTTTAGTATCTATCTTGCTCACTATCATATCATCCAAAGTCTGGCATAGGCAAACTCTTGATAAATATTCGTTACATGTGGCCCATATTATTCTGAAGTAATCTCAAATTAGTGTGTTTATCATTTTTGTGCTTCCAAAATCATATTTACCTTGGAGTCTGGGAATGGAAGTTACTTTTGAAATTCTACCTATGAAAATTTAATGGGTAAGATTAATACCAAGTCTTCTGGTATGACTTGGGAATGACTTCTTGAAAAGAAATGCAGTTTTCAAGACTGGTGTGAAAACTAATGTTGTATTGGATAATTATTTTGGTACTGGAAATTAAAGCCAGGGACTTTGTACTGAGGTACATCCTCAGTCCTTTTAAATTCTGAGGCTGAGTCTTACTAAGTCATTTTGATGCCCAGGCTGGGCTCACACTTGCACTTCAGCCTCCTAGGGCACTAGAATTACAAGTGCCTGGCGGCACATCCTGGCCCTTGAGTGGGAACTTTAAAATAAAAACATATTCTAATCTCTGAGTTACAGCCCTTGGGATTATGAATGCCTGAGAAGAATATACATCTTTAACATTATCTGAACATTGGCCTGGAGATTTTAGGAACTCTGATCAAAATTTAGAAGATGATTCCTGTGACTTTGTTTTTATATAGCAGCCATAGACTCAATAATTCATTTCAACAAAAGTTTAACACTCATCCATTATGAGTCAATCCATCCAAATCATCAGATGGGATATTCTATATTTGTGAGCTCGTCACTAATGGAAAATCACTTTTACTATGATAAAGTATCCTAAAAATCTCATCCATAGAAACCTATCTCTCTTTCTACTCCCTCCCTCTTAGAAACCAAATGAACCAGAAATTAAGCCTTTTCCCTGGACTCTTTCAAATGTGATTATCTATAATTATGCCTGAATTAATATCTAAAACAACTTTTGTTTTTTCTATATGGATGTTTAGCATCTAAGAGAGATTTTTCATTATAGGAAATACAAATAGCAGCCACTGTGCACTGACCGCCTTCCTTGTGTCAAGTCCTGTATTTTCTCTTCACATACCTCCTTTATTCTTCCTAATTGCCTCATAAAACAGTCAGTGACATGTGTACCTGTCCACATTTGCAGGAAAGAATGACCAGGTACAAGGTTAGGAACTGCCCAAGCTAACCACACATAAGGAGGGAAGAAATAGAATTGGATTCTACATTTTTATCACTCAATCTCTACTTCTACTATATTTTATTCTGTCTTGTATTGGAAGCTTTAATGATTATAACACAAAAATAAAGGATTTGGCTCTCTAAAGACTAAATGTACCCATCAATGCTTGGAAAGCAATCTGTCTTGAGAGATTTTTTTTTTTTAAAATCTGGACTTTCTAAACAGTAACAGCTGTAAATTAGCAGCGATTGAACCAAAACTGTTCCATTAATGTGTTCCTTAGGATTTACATTCATATGAGTTCTTTAGGCAGATCACATAGCCACAGCCTCACAACTGTCTGCTTAGTATTACACATAACTGGGAACCATAGCCCATGGGCAATGAGCCCTTCCAAGGCAGAGGGCAGCTGACATACCAGACACCGACACTGCTGGCAGCCGTGGGTCCAGTTGTCTCCACTTCGATAGAGTTTGTGTCCATTTTGATCTAAACATTGGCTTGTGACCCTGGTGTCACACTCTGGGCAACAAAAAAGGTCAACACTTGGATTGAGACAATCACATGCTGTCCGTCGGCAGAAGATCTTCCCATTCTGTTTAGGAATGAAATTAAGGTAGGATCATCAATACAGAAGCAGCGGGACAGCCACACTGTGAGAAGCAAGTCTTCTAAATACTTTACAGAGCACACAGGACAGATTTCGGAGTCTCAGCCATCACCGACTCATCTGCTGTCTTCAAGACAGATGCCTGCTGGCCTGTTCCTGTGAACACAACCTTTCTTCCCCTAACTTTGCCTACAAAGGCACCCAAGTCGGAATGTAGACACTTGTACGTTTGACAAAGAAATCAATAGGTTCCTTGGAAATGTTTTCAACATTTCCTTAAAAATCATGCTTCTGAGAAAGAGCTAAAGCTCATATAGGGATATAAAATGTTACATTTGAGTGAAGAATTATGCTCCCACCTTTGTCTTAGGTTTTAACAATACCACTTACCAGGTTCAAGTGCAGTCATCTAATTTCATTTCTATCCTAACACTGGCAGGAAGTCTGATGGGTGTGCTTTTTTTCACAAGAGTTAACCGAGGCTCAGAAAGGCTAAGTGACTTGACCAGGAGCACACGTGCCAGTGACTTTGAGCACCAGTGCCAAATCCTATGGTTTAAGACAGTTTTTCTTCCCCATGGTGGCCTCAAGGATGTTCACTTGAAGGGATCATAAGTAGGTGCCAGCTTCCCTCTCGAAGCATTTCACAAAATTACAGGCACAATGCAATGTCTAGAGCACCGGCCCTGGGGACTCACAGACATAAAGCAATGAGGGTCAATAGCACTTGTACATTTGGAGTGAACATTTTGCAGGATTCTTATCATGACTGCCTCACAGCAACTACCCACCTCCAACAATGAAGCAAGTTAAATGCGAGAGAAAGCCTGTGGTCACATTTAGGGTTATAATTATTTTGATGAATATTTTAAAAACTAAAACACCAAAAAAAAAAGATTAAAAAAAGAAAGGGGCTGGGGACTTAGCTCACTTGTATAAGCAGCTGCCTAGTACGTGCACAATTGTGAGTTCAATCCCTGGTACCAATAAAAAAAAAAAAAAGATAAATACTAAATCAAAACTCTCAGGGATGGGAAATATCTTAGAGGACACATAACCGATCTTCTCTGTAGATCAAGATTTAAAAGCCATCAAGCCTATGCATAAACTTCTCCAGTCTTCAAGAACTCACCCCACTGGGAAGCATTTAAAATGTGCTTTTTGTGTATTTCTTAATACTGCATGCATTGTTTCTCTCCATTGTGTTTGGTTCATAGAACTCCCCATACCGTCTATCATATTCCAACTCTTCAGTTCTTAGAGGAATTCTGCTCCGTTTTTCCTCCCCTCTGGGTTAAATACTTCTAATTTCTTGACCCACCTCCAAAATTTCTTCCTTTCTGTCACAGCTGCTTTCACTTTCAACAGTTTTGAATATTTTCTATCAACATCCTTGCTGTCATTATCTGCCACAAATCTAATGCTTATTCTGTGTCATGCATTATGCTAATTTCTTTATAGGTGCTATCACATTTAATCCTGATAATCTGTGAAGGAAAATTTAATCTTCATTTCTCTTCCTTTTTAATTTATTTTTATTTCAAAGAGAACAGAACAAAGCAGGTCATGGCAAAACAATGCAAACAACACAGGATTTCAAAACAAGACAGCAGGAAATCGGCAATGGCTACCATAACGTCTGTTGTTTTCTTCAAGATAGTTGTCCAAACCTTCACGCACAATGAACTCAAGACAAAATAGTGTAAACTGATCAAATAAAAGGATGAAAGCATTACAAGCCTTCAAAACCCAACAATAGAAAAATCAACAATGGCCTCTATTATGTCTCTTGTTCTTTTCAAAACAGCTGTCCATACCTGCACATATTGAAATTAAAAAATACAAGACAGACAGAACCAATCAAGCCAAAGAATAAAAGCGTTATGGGACTCCACAAGAAGATGATAGGGAATTTGGTGCCTAGCTCAGGAGTAGAGCATTTGACTCTAATGAGTTGGCTGAGCAAGAACTAAGCATGTCATCAGCAGCAGAGGGAACTGGGGTTCAGGCCACTTTGTTGTAAGTGCTGTACTTTCTCTAATGCAGCCTGAGATCAATGTTTACTTTCTTACTTTGGTTCTGTCACAGTGTTGGCTTGCACTGAGCTTAACGAAGTCTAAAACTTCACTAAGCCCCATCTCATTTTGTGCAGCTGGTTGTTAGGGGCAGTGAATTTATTACTTGATGTCCATTCCTGATGGATTTCACTTTGTTAGATCCATCTCATCTTTCTTGCCTGCCACAGTGTTTTCTAAATGTTCTGTGTGTCATCCACCAGACTGCCATCCCTCATAGCTTAGTGACATTGAACACAGGGATGGATCTGCTCTCAGGGTCTTCATCTACTTCATCTGTAACAATGCTGAATCAGACAGAGCTTACTGAGATAAATGGAGAGTTAGCTAAAGTGAAAGCTTTCAAAAGCTTTACATTCTTTGTGGAAAATATAAAGGAAATTATAGTTATACAGGTAAAAAGGCTAAAAACCTGCTTCCCCTCAAATTGTGTGCACTGGATCTATTATACAGGAACATAGGAAATCAGGTTTCATAAAGACTTGTGTGCACATGTGCAGAAAGAGACAGAGAGAGAGACAGAGAGAGAGAGAGAGAGAGAGAGCCCTAAGTGGCATAAACACCTTCCTCACAAGGTCCTGAGTTCAATTTCTGGTACCAAAGAGACAGAGAGAGACAGAGAAAGAGACAGAGACAGAGATAGAGACAGACAGACAGACAGACAGACACACACACACACAGAAAGAGAGAGAGAGAATGAGAGAGAGAATTGAGTCAGAGAATTCAATTATCCAGGAATTGTCGTAGGAATCTTTCAGCAATAAGCTTTTTATTTACAACTCATACCATTATTTTAACTTAAAATATTTTGTGTAATCAAGGCCTCAAGTGAGTACGTGGAGCTTACTTTGAACTAGTGGAGGCTAAGAAAAGCAGTTATAGCTGCAGCCAGAGGCCATTTATCAACTCAGTTTTCTGACACTGTCTCACTGGCCCGAAGTATAAAGGGACTAAGCCTTGGGAACCAACAAGACCTAGTCCATGAACAGCAACAAAAGTAAATATGAATTCATTCTGCAGAGGTTAATGCACTTCTAGCAGTGAGACCCCATCAGAATGTCTGGTTTCTTCTTACAAGTTGATTAGAAGAATAAATAAGAATAAATAAGAAGGGTTCAAGGTTAGTACAAAGTAAAGCAATTTTCCATCTCTTTAGGTACATAAAATGACAGAGGACCCTCTCAGCTTCCAACATGTCTCAGAACAGTGGCTTTGAATTACAAAATAACTTTCAAGAAAATCACTTTAATACTGAAAGTGTCACAGGTGACTCCATTAATTCAATGTGAATGAATGTGATTATAAACCCTGTCATGATTTATGTCAGTGGCCCCCAGGCCTCATGCGCTTGCTTTGTGCACTTGTGATTGGTTCATTGTCTAGTGCTTGGATTGATGGTGTCAGTGCTACACCCGCCTAGGGGTGGAGCCAGCATACAATGTAATGGCAGGAAGAAGGCATGTTTCTCTCTCTTGCTGTTTTCCACCTTGCTGTTTGCAGCTCCCATGAACTGCAGCCCTGCCGTGGAGCCAACTGAGTATGGACTGAAACCTCCAAAAACTGTAAGAAATAAACTTTTCCTTTCCCAACTTTGGGCATCAGGTATTTTGTCTCAGTGATGAGTAAAAAGTAACTAAGACAAACCCTCAGCTCATGCAGCATCATCACAGTGGGTAAAAACTTTAGGGAGATTTGAGGCTGTGAATGGTGAGGGAACCTTCTTATTATAATAATCCTTGAGGCTCCTCTAGGGTTTGACCTCCACCCATGGCAGGCATTGAAGAGACGAAGAAAGCTCGTTCCATCTGCTGCTTCCCCTCCCCTTCTCCCTTCAAATCCAACTAGGTTAAGTTTTAACTTCCTAAAGGCCATAAAACAAAGGCCTGAGGTACTAGCTCCTGACATCCTGGGTCTTCCCTATCTGGTAGCCCCGTCACAAATTGTGTTAATTGCATCAGATTGTATTAGATTGTACATTCTTCACAGAAATAGCTTCGTTTATATCATAGTAATACCTATAACTGTAAATGTGTGTCTTCCTTTTTCCCTGGGTAAAAGATTGATATGTTAATCAATGCTCTCTTCTGTAAAGAATTGTAAAATCTTACCCAATTGATATGTTAACCATTGTTGCCCTCTACAAATAAAAAGGTTGTGGTGCTAAAGTAAGGTAATTATGTCAGGAAACTCAGAGATAAAGTCTGCTGACTATGCTAATCAAGATTGGGAAGTATGTCAGAACCAAGCCACACAGGAGCTAGGTGACCTAAAAATAAGCTGTACAAAACAAGACAGTTAATCAACTCTGACCCACTGGTCGCCCCTCATGATCTGACCAATCACAAATGGACAAATCACCAACTGTTCTGCTCTAACTGCTATGATTGGCTTCTGTAACAATGCTTGCTTGCTTTGCGGTTTTCATCCTTAAAAACACCAGCCTTGCCCCAACTCAGGGTTCTCCGTTTCCACCTGTTTGGAGGACCCCGTGTACACGGAATAATAAAAACCCCATTGTTTTTACATGAGAGCGAGGCCCTTGGAGTCTTCCTCGCGACACCGGTCTAACAGCATCACTACGATACCAAAGACATATTGTACCCCCTTCTTCCTCAAAAGCTGAATGTTTTTATTGTTTTATCATAAATTTAACTATGAGCAATTAATTGCAATATGTGATTTGTTTCTGAATTTTAAAAAGTAGGACATAGGCTTTGTTAGAAAACTTACACATGAATCATTCTTATTATGCCATGGAAAATTTTAGGCTTGATAGTATAAATTATACATTTTATAACCAAACAGTCAACAGAATGACACATATACTCAGGACTGTTACGCTATGAACTAATTTTTTTCTGCTACTGAGTTTTGAAAATTTTAAATCAAGAAAGTGGACTTTGGTAAAAA